TAATCCCAGCACTTGGGGAGGCAGGTAGCCTCTGTGAGTTCGAGGCTAGCCTGGTCTACAAAGTGAGTCCAGGACAGCCAAGGCCACACAGTGAAACCCTGTCTCAAAAAACCAAAACACCAATCCAAACAAAACAAAATGCAAAATAAATAAAGAGTCCACAATAGTAATCTGAGAAAGAAGTCCATGTATCTTTAGTGCCAGCAGCGGAAGGCAGATCTCTGTGAACTCAGCCTGGTCTACATCAAGGGCTAGCACGACTAGCCCGGGCCAAACAAACACATCTGAAAAGGAACCAGCAGTGTAACCCCAAGTTGCAACATTACTTCCACAGTGAGTGAGGGAAGTGGGGGCGGGGAAGGGGAGATGGGCGGGGCATGGGTCCTCCTTCAGTGTGTTAGCAGGGTGGGTAAAAGGAATATAGTTGGAGGCAGGTTGTGGTAGAGACAAACGTAGCAAGAGGCAGTGGTGTGGGCCCACTTCTTAGAAATAGGAAATAAACAAGTTCTAGAGAAAAAAATCAGCTCTGTGCAGAGAGGATGCTGCAGGGGGCAGGTGGGGGCCTGAGAGGTAGGCAGGAAACTACCTGATGGGTAACGAGTGGATTGTTCGCTTCCTGCCCAGACCACGGTTCACTGTTTCCCGGAAAGGCTCACTTTCCCAGCATTCACGTGTTCTGTGGCAGCATGTGAGGGTCTTCAACAGCTGGTGGTGCACCTGACAGCTACGTGTGCGTGCGTGTGTGTGTGTGTGTGTGTGTGTGTGTGTCTGGTCTGTCTATCTCTGTCTGTATGTCTGTGTGTCTCTATGTATCTGTGTGTATGTGTCTGTGAGTCGCTGTATGTCTATGTGCCTCTGTATGTGTGTTTATATATGTGTGTGTCTGTGTGCCTCTGTGCATCTGTGTATATCTGTGTGTGTGTCCCCAGGAGTGTAGAGACGGGACAACCTTGGGTGCATTTCCCCAGGCTCTCTCACTGAGACCTGGCCTGGCATATTCATTAGGTTTGTTTTGTTTGTTTGTTTGTTTTTGGCCTATTAGGCCTCAGGCAGCCTCCTCTCTCCACTTCCCCATCGCTGGGATCACAAACCCACCATGCCTGGCTTTTAATGTGGATTCTGGGATCAAACTCGGGTCCTTCTGCTTGAATGACAAGCACCTTAGAGACTGAGCCACATCCCAGCCTCCCCAGGGGCCCAGCCTGCCAGTGTCTCTCTTGTTGGTCCATAAGGAGAGGGCATCCCACAGTTGGTGACGTTTTAGGCTCCCTGAAGTGTGGCATTCTTCTGATAAGATAGAAATTTGAGCGAAAATGTAAAACCAGGCTTAGTGGGTCATATCTGTAATCCAAAACTCAGGAATTCAAGGACAGCCTGGGCCACATGAGACTCTTGTCAACTTCCCCCAGCCCCCTAAAAAGAGTATGAATGGCACTCTTCTTCTGTTGGCATTTTTTTTAAGGTTTTTCAATGCAAGGCTTCTATGTGTAGCCTTGGCTGTCTTGGACTTGCTTATTAGACCAGGCTGGCCTCAAACTCACAGAAATCTGCCTGCCTTTGCCTCCCTGAGTGCTAGGATTACAGGCCTGTGCCACCAAGCCCAGCTGACATTTTGGTTTTCTTTAAGAGCAGGTTTCTCTGTGCAGTCCCAGCTGTCCTGGAACTTGCTTTGTAGACCAGGCTGGCCTCAAACTCACAGAGCTCTGCCTACCTCTGCCTCCTGAGGGCTGGGATTAAAAGTGCCATTTAGTTTTCTAAGCAGTCCTTGTTATTAGTTGAGCTGTTGGTTTGAGGAAATGGGCTCAGAGATGTTAAGTAACTTCCTGAATGTCACACAGCCAGGGAGTGATAGACAGTAGTCAGACCCCAGGGGCAGTAGTCTGGCGTTGTGGACAGCAGCAGGCTGCTGCTTTGACTGGTTTGAAGGAAACCGTAGCCTATCCCTCGGACTCTAACATGCTGCCCAGTCTTCTTGTGGGGATGTCATGCTGAGGCCTTGGGCTGTGGCTCACATAGGCAGGTCGAAGCCACAGGGCCAGGCGGATCCCCAGGAAGTGATTCTGGGGTGGAGAAAGGGCAGGGCCCTTGCCTCTCCATGCATGCAAAGCAGCTGACACCTGGCAGGGACTCAGCCAACCTATGTCACAAGGTGCTTTCTAGACTAGGAGTTGGACCACCAGCAGGGAAGGATGTGTTGAGGATAAGATGGCCAGACGAGAAACTATGTACACAGCAGCCTCTTTCTTTTTGGACTGCCGGGTGAGGGCTGAGATAGATATTAGACGATGCAACGGGATAGGATGAAGACGGCAGAGCTAATGCATAAAGCAGAGCCATGTGCTCCTCCAGCTAGACAAAGGCTCTTGTCACCATCAGCGAAGCACCTTCTCACCAGCCCTAACAACCGTTAAGGCAGCTTCTACCCAGAGCCCAGAGAGGTCAAGCCCCACAGCTAAGGAGCCCAACTGTACCAACCAGTTAGCCCCACTGCCCTTCACGTGTTCACGTGTTGGATGGCATTCGTCAATTTGGGGCAACAGCTCCTCAGAGGAAACCCACATCCTGTCTCCAGTGCTGCCTCAGAGATATGAATGTGTGATAACGGGGCACCAGGAACTGGTCTCTTAGGTGAAGCCCCACCCCCTTTTCCTTCCTCTCCCCTCTGTCAACTGTCACAAAACCCCAGCAAGCCCAAGATTGCCTATGGTCCCAACACTCCATGGCCTGTGACATCTGTGGCACGGCACGGCATACCTCCTGCCTTGTTGACTTGGTTTCCTCGGTATGGAGCTGGGGGAAGAATGAAGCTTACCTCAGGATCCCCATGGGACCTGAGTAACTGACACATGTTGTTCGCCTGACATTAAGCGCCGGTGGTGGGGTCTGGAGGGAGCACAGTAGAGTCAGGGGCATGGCTGTGACTCCTAGATGTGTCACTGGTCAGCTGTGCAGCCTGAGGCAAGTGTCTATCCCTCTCCTAGCCTCCATTCCCTCATCGGTGAGGTGTGTGTCTGTGTCTGTGTGAGCACAAGCATGTGCACAATTCCACTTCATGTGCCTGGAGCAGGTCAGTTGTGATGTATCCCTGCAGTATCCCTGCAGTTGGCAGACATTCTCTAGCCTCAGCTTTGTGGGCCTCTTCTCCCATTGAGTTTAGATATTATATACATATATCCCAACAGTGGTGGTGGCACAAGCTTTAAACCCAGCACTCAGGAGGCATAGAAAGGCGAATTTCTGAGATTTCCAGGCCAGCTAGGGCTACATAGTGAGACATTGTTTCAAACAACAAGAACAAACCAACCAGCCAAATTACCCCCACCCCCGATGCTCAGGATCCCGAGGAAGGGGCTCCTGTGGCTGCCACCCAATACCCACCAAATAGCCACAATGGTCCTGTGGGCTTTCCACGGGCAATGGGCCGGTGTTTCCATTCTGCCAGGGGCAGTTTACCCAACAGAACACCTGCCTTCCTGTGCATGTGCAAGGAGAGGAGCAGAGAGGGTCACATGGCTGGCATGGGGATGTTTTCCCAGCTGTGTCAGCTCTGCCAGAGGGAGCCAGCTCCGAGTATCTCAGATGAGCCAAGACTTCCAGCAAACCTGTGCACTGCGGCAGAGCTGGCCAGGGGCCTGTGGCAACGAGGCCAGTCACTTCTCAGAGCCAGAGTCAGTTACAGGAAACGCTGCTTTCTTCTTGTGCTCCCTCCGCCAGTTCTAGGGGAGAAGATGCGTCCTAGGGACAGAGATAGCAAGGAAGTCAAGACCTGCGGTTCAAAACAACAGGATACAGAGCCCACGAGCAGGTTTCTAGCCCCTTCAGAGGACTAAGCACAGCCATGCCCCCACGAAACGCTCCATGTCAGACCACAGGCCAGTCACAAAGCTCTCTCCCCACCAGAAACCAAAACAGCAAATACTTCCAGCTCTAAGCTGCTAAGTTGTTTTTTTTCCGTTCTATGTGTGTGGTGGTAGTGGGCATGTGCTAACAGGTACATTGCATTCATGTAGGCACCTGTGTGCAGGCGCACCTATGAACATATATACCCATGCATGTGAGGCTTGAGGTTGATGCCAGCTCTTCCACATCATTCCCTGAGACAGGGTCTTTCCGTCAAACCCAGAGCTGGATGACAGGCTGTCCTCACTAGCCAGCTTGTGAGAGCCCCTGCCTCTCTCTCCCAAGGCTGGGGTCACAGGTGTGTTCCTACACTCGCCGAGCCTTTACATGGGCTCTGGGGATTTGAACTCTGGTCCTCAGCCTTGCACAGCAGGCACATTGAGCAATAAGCCATCTCTCAGCCCCTCTGCAGCTAAGCTTTGAGGAGATGCATTGCACAGTGGCAAAATAGTGTCTATGTTTCAGGAGGCCAAGGCAGGAGGATGGCTACAGCTCTCCAGTTCAAGGTCAACTTGGGCAATGTAGTAAGACCTCATCAAAAAAAAAAAAAAAAAGGTCTAAAGTGCAAATCAAGTGTGGTGGTGCACACCTTTAGTCCCAGTGATCGGGAAGCAGAGGCAGGTAAGATCCAATGGAAGACTACTTAAGTATATTTCCATGAGTGTGTACCGTAAAGTTAAAAAGAATGCTACAGGTTCTGCTCTCCAAAGCTGCCAAAGTTTCCCAGATAAATAAAAGAACATCTTGCCGTGGTTGGCAGCACACACTTTCAATCTCAGCGCTCCGGAGGAGGCAGAAGATCAACAGTCACTGGAGGCCAGGCTGGCCACAGGCGAATAGAAAAACTATGTCTGAAAAATGAAAGTCAGTCTGGCATGGTGGCACAAGCCTGTAATCACATCACTTGGGGGGTGAAATCAGGGAGAACTGAAGCTCAAGATGATCCTTGACTACAGAGAGAGTCTGAGGCCAGCCAGGGCTACATCAGACCCTGTCTCAAAAAGAAATCAAAATAAAGTTATGTGTGATTAGAGTGGAAAGTTTTGGTGTCTTTAAAAACTCAGTTCTGTCATGTAAACATGTTTTTGTTTTAATCCCAGGTGTGGGAGATTGGGGCTGATTCAGATGGTCCACAGCAGCAGACTATTTGCCTCGTGCGGGCTCTGAGAGGGGCTCTTTGCCAGCTGCAGAGAGCTTAATTCTGAGGGCTCTGGAGACGGAACAAATGCCGGAGCCCAGAGAAAGGGGGCTCTGAGAAAGAAGAAGGCTGCTGGTGCTTCCTGCCTGCTGCTCCTGGTTGCTGTTGATGGAAGTTTGATGAGAAAAAGTTGGGAATATCCTGAAACAAAGATTGGACTTGCCCCCAAGAAACCCAACAACCCTAACCAGCAGGAAGTAGCCAAAAAGAACTCTGTCCCCTCTCCCCACTAAACTTTTTTCTCTCCTACCTGGTGTTGGGGTGTAGGAAAGGATTGGGGTGGAGAAGGGAGAAAGAGGCATAAGAAACGTAAATAAAAATAGTTTTAAAAAGTACACCAACATTCGATAAAGTCACAGACTGGCAGGAAATATTTGAAAAAGATGTGTCATGAAGTATTGATAAAGTGTGTTAAAGGTAAACAACTTTAAATTCAATACGAAAACCCAATAAACATGGGCAATAGGCTTGGATAGACACTTCTAAGAGAAGTGTCTATTTGATAAGGTGCATGGAAAGAGTACATCTTTAATGATCAGAGACGCGCACGTCAAAGTCTTGTGTAAGGAGTGTGTGTGCACACGGGTGTGCATGTAGATAGTGTGTAAGAGTACGTGCATACTTAATTGTATGTTGGTGTGTGTCTACTCTCAGAGGCCAAAGGAACATGTCAGGTGTCCTGCCTCACTCTCCACCTTAACCCCTCGAGGCAGAGTCTCTCTGTGAACCTGGCACCAGGCTGGCAGCCAGCAAGTACCATTCACCCTCCTTTCTCTGCACCCCGCCCCCAGCACTGGTTGCAAGCTAGTTCAGCCGTTTCTGGCTCTTGATGTGGGTGCAGGAACCTGAACCCAGTGTGCTTTGCTTGCACATCACACACTCTTATCCACTGAGCTATCAACTGGAAATCCTGATGAGAAATTCCACATAACCACCCAGTGTGCCGAAAGTACATAAGCTTGGTGGGCAGCGGTGGCGCACGCCTTTAGTCCCAGCACTTGGGAATCAGAGACAGGTAGATCTCTTAAGTCTGACGCCAGTGTGACCTGCAGAGCGAGTTCCAGGACAGCCAGGGCAACACAGAGAAGAAGCCTTGCCCTAAAAATCAAGGTCCAAAACAGAACAAAAAAGTAGACAGGCTGACAGCCTGCAAGCCGGTGCGGCGACAGACCTTCCACACCCCGCACACCCCATGAGTCAGCAATCCTGGCACCTTACCTAAGAACTAAGTGTATGTTCACAGAAATGCTCGGGCAAGAATATTCATAGCTGCTTTATCACAGTCCCAAACCGGAAATCGCCCAAATAGCCATCAGCAGGAAATGGATAAACAAATTGTACTGTAGTCCTAGAATACCACTCAGCAATAAACAGGAGCCAACCCCCGACTCGGACGACACTAGAGATGCAGAGCTGTGTGCAGACATCTACCGAGCGAAAGGGCAGGGCCTGCTGCTGGGCTTCCTGCACAGGAAATCACAGCAGAGAAAAGGCCAGAGATGGGAAACTGGGCGGTCTGGGGTGGTGGTGGCAGGAATGTTCTAGACATGGTCAGAGGTTTGTGTTTACCCCCCAAACTCAATAAAATACACAATTAAAATTCGGGTATGGTTGCCCACAGCTGAGGAGCCTGGGGCAAGAGGCTAGCCTGAACTACAGAGTGAGGTCCTATATCAGAAAACCAACACACACACACCACAAAAACACGCACCAACCCCTCCCCACACACATACACCCCATCCCCTCACCCCCCCCACAATGCTGAATGCGTTTTTGGGTTGCAGAGGGGACTCTACAGTTAAGAGTACTTGTTGCTCTGCAAGAGGACTTGTGTTTGGTTCCCAGCGCCCACATGGTGGCTCCCTGTAACCTATAACTCCAGCTCCAGGAGGTCCGACTCCCAGGGCATCAGGCCTGTACTGCTGCAAACCCTCAAACACATGTAAAATATAAATAAAAGTGTAAAACTTTTAAAAGAAACTCGACCTCACATATCACGTAACAAAGTGAATAATCCCCCCAAAAATGTGGTTTGTGAAGATGTTGACAGCAGAATGTAGAGAGGCCCCTGCAAAAAAGTGCTGAATATGCCACACATGTGCAAATGCTCCTGACAGAGTCTGTCATCATCGAGAGAGTAGTAAGGCTCAGAGGCCAGGAACTCAGAGATCCGCCTGCCTCTGCCTCCCGAGCGCTGGGATTAAAGGCGCGCACCACCACCGCCTGACTCGGTACTTAGGATTTATAGAGACGTCGGTGGGTTACAAAACGAGCTGCTGCAGTGGCTCTGGAGTCAGTGTAGCTCAGGCTGGCCTGGGCACTCACAGTGTAGCTCACAGGACGAGCTGCTCACCTCAGCCTGCCAAGTGCTGGAACACACATGAGCCACGTGCCCAGCTATGTTGCTCTTTGTAGAAAAATATGCTGAGTGTATACAGTAAAAAGCCAGGAAGAGTGTTTGTAGCTCGGCTCAGAAGTCAGGAAAAGATCTTTATGTGTCTTTTTTTTTTTTCCTGTTGTTTGCTTTTTTTTTTTTTTTTTTTTTTTTTTTGACAATGCCTGTGCCTACTGTGTGACCCTGGCTGGTTTCCAACCTTTTTTTTTTTTTTTTTTAAGACAGGGTCTCACTATGTGGCTATTGCTGTCCTAAAACTCACTATGGAATCAGACCAGGCTGTCCCAGAACTCACAGATCCTCTTGCCTGTCTCCTAATGCTAGAATTACAACTGTGTACCCCCACATCTGACTGATGCTTGCATTTTTTTAAATAATACGTGTGTGTCCATTTTGCTAAACCAATAGGGAGTATGATAGTTTACTTTTAAAAACTGTTTACTTATTTATTCCAGACGGCACATGCACACACGCCATAGCTGATGTGTGGAGGTCAGAGACAACCTGGTGAAGCGATTTTTCTTCTTCTGCTGTGGGGGTCCCAGGGATTCGAGCTCATGTCGTCAGACTTGGCAGCAAGCACCTTTACTCCCTGAGCCATCTTGTCAGCCCTAAAATATAACTTAAAGAATGTTTGCCCCAGAAATCTGGTAGAAGAGCGTACCAAGTTGGCTTGGGCTTAGCGTTCCCGTGACGTCTGGGATGGCAGGAAGAGGTCAGGGAAGAGCTCTTTCCACAAAGCCATCCCACCTGATGTGCATGTGACGTGGGCACAGACATCCAGCTGGTAGAGTGGTGAGTGAGTGAGAGGATAGAGGAAAAGTTGGAAATTTGTTGTGGTTCAGCCCTGGAAGCGATACCAGGGGTCACTTCAGCCCATTGTCCACTTGCCCCGCCCCCCAGTCACATTCCAGCATGGCTCCTGCTCCATGACACAGCACCACCTGCCCCTCAGCCACCATCAATGATGCATGGCAGGTCCGCTCTCCCTGCATAGGCCCTGCTCATGACCCTACACTCTGGGGCCACCCAGAAGGAAGTGTTGAGGCCGGACATGCTAGAAGCCTAGTAACTTTCCTCAGGGGGAGGCCTAGCCTGTCTGGGCAGCCAGGAACACAGTGTTCTGACCGCTCCAGCCTCTCCACCCAGGGTCAGGGCCACGGCCTGGGGCATGGCTGCTTAAGGAAGGGCTCTGGGTCATGAAAGCTCCTTCAGGCCTTGTGAACTACCCCCAGGCACCTGCCTGTAACTCCAAGTAGGAGTTCCTCAGGAACAGCAAGCAAGAGAGCAGGCAGTCTGTTTTGTTTTGTGGCAGGGTCTCATAAGCCTCAGGCTGGCCTGACTCACTGTGTGGCTGAGGATGACTTTGAACTCCTGCCACCACTTCCCAAGGACTGGGATCAAAGGTGTGAACCAGCACCCTGATGTAGTCTCACTTCGGACCCACACCCTCAGTCAATTTCATCTCAGTAATCTCACCTCAAAAGGGACACCGTCCTTTGTTTTTGTTGGTAGTATTTGTCTCTGTTTGCTACTGAGATAAGGTCTTAGACCCTGGCGTGGAGGTTGGTTTCAAATTTACTGTGGTAGTCCATGTTGGTTTCCAAATCAAAGCCATCCTCTTGCCTCCACAGCTGGCCTCCTCCCTCCCTCATTACCTCCTCTGTCTTCCTTCATCTTTTTCTCTTCCTTTTTCAGTCAGGACCTCACTATGCAGCCCTGGCTGGCCTAGAACTTGGTATGTAGCCTAGGCTGACCCTAAGCTCACAGAGATCCACCTGCCTCTGCCTCCCTGAGTGCTGGGATTACAGGTGTGCACCACTGCGTCCCACACTGAGGTCTTTTTTGGGGTGTGTGTGCTGGGCAGAGAACGCAGAGCCTCAAACATGTCAAGCAGAGCTCTCCCACTGGACCACTTCCCCGCCCACAGCTCTGGGCAAATGTGCTCGTTTGGAATAATGTTAGGTTTGACACAATGGTTGCCGAGTTTACACGCTTTGTGTCTAGTTTCCCTCCTGTCACCGCTTTAGTCAACCGTGGACTGTGTGTCCAGAAACACTGATTTTGGTCATGACTGCTAGCCAAACCCAGCCTCCCCACCCCCGGTGGTCCTGGACTCGATTTGTAGACCAGGCTGGCCTCAAACTCACAGAGAGCCGCCTGCCTCTGCCTCCCTGAGCGCTGGGATTACGGGTGTGAGCCACCGTGCCAGGCTGCCAAACCCAGCCTTAATTCAGATTTCGTTCACTGGTTCACACGGGTCCTGTCCCAGGATCCAGATGATTGGCCACGTTGCCATGTCTTCTTGGCTCCTTCCAGTCACAGATTTTCAGTCTTGAGGCTTGAGGCTTGTCAGTCAGGCATTTTGTAGATGTCCGTCTGCCTGTCTATTTTTCGGTGTTATATATTTTTCTCTTGATTACCTTGGATGCTTGCTCATTCCATTAGACCAAGGGCACACGATCACCACGTGACGCACGGAATTAGCATCACTTGTTTAAGGTGGGTGGTCAGCTTTTGACTGTTTTCCTCTTGTGTCCTCTTCCTTGCCCTCTCCCTTCTCTCCTCTTTCTTTTCTGTTCATCTCCTCTTCCTCTCCTTCCTTCTCTCCTACACTCTCTCCTCTCTGTTTCTTTTTTGTTTTTTTGGGTGTTGGGGGGGAGGGACAGGGTCTCACTATGTAGCCCAAGCTGGCCTTCTGGTCTCAGTCTCCCCAGTGCTGGAGTCTGAACTACCATACCCAGATCTGAAATTTTTTACTTTTTTTTTGGTTCTGGGGAGCACACTCAGGCCCTCCCTCGTGCTCTGTGCTTTATGCTTTAGAAGTGAGTCACTGGGTCACAGGCTCATTCAAGGGGCAGTGACTTGAACCACTTCCTGGAGAAAGAACACAAATTATTGGAATTCTCCTGGGAAGACAGAAGGTCTTTTCTTGCAGTCTA